ATGCAGAGGTTGTAAGGAGAGAGAGTTGTTTTAGCAAGAGTTCACTTTGAGCATTGTTTTTTAACTCGCCAATATATTTTATTTTGGAATGATCAGTTGTGTTATCCATGTGACATTCAGCTAACTGCTTCCAATATTTCACTCTCTTGCATCAGCGGTGACAATGTTATAGACAAGTTTATTTACGTTTTGTACCTTTTATGTGGCCCGGCATGGCCAGGTGGTTAGGGAGCTCGACTCACAATCTGCGGACCGCAGGTTCGAATCCCCGTTCCATCAAACATGCTCGCCCTTTCACCCGTGGGAGCGTTATAAGGTGACGGTCAATCGCACTATTCGTTGGTAAAAGAGTAGCCCAAGAGTTGGCGGTGGGTGGTGATGACTAGCTGCCTTCCCTCTAGTCTTACATTGCTAAATCGGGGACGGCTAGCGCAGATAGCCCTCAAACATACCTTTTATTATGTTGTAATGTATCATTGAGAACGGTAACGATATTCAACTTGACCATGTTTTTAACTTATTACGTGTGATTCAGTTTTATAATGTAATTTCCTGTTATGAAACATTTATTTACAGTTTAATCTTGTTTTATTTTACTTGCAATATCACATCTAAAGCCAAACAATATTACAATTCATTCTCTTCCTGAGGTGCTAGTTGTATCTCCTTACTCTTTTTGTGCTTCACTGCTTATAACAATTTACTCTTCTTCTGTAGCACTATTTACAACAACTTATTCTCTTCTCGTAGCACTATTTATAACAATTTATTCTCTTCTCGTAGCACTACTTAGAATAACTGACTCTTTTTCCAGTAGCGCCAATATAACTAAGTATTATCCTTATGTGGTGCCATCACATCAGCTTTATCATTTCCTGTACTACCATCGTAAATAATTTTACTCATTATGCTTTATTGTCTTTTGCGGTATCATCATAGCACAAATTCAGCAGTATCATATTATTTTTACTGTATTCCCACCGTACAACTTATTCACTAGTAGTATCGTATCAGCGTATTTTAATGTAGTCCCACTGTATAACTTATTGAGTAGTAAGTACTATATCAGCCTATTTTTCACCATAGTATCACCATGACAAGTTATTCTATTCTTATATGTTAGCACCGCCACAACTTATTATTTTCCTTTAGTTTCAACATAAAGTTTTTCTTCTTTTTTTGCTACAATGCCAATAAAACACCTTATACTAGCTATAACGACTTATTCTTTTCCTGTAGTAACACGTTAACAGGTTATTCTTTTATCGTCTTTCCTCTAATAGAATTTTATTACTTTTGTGTAAAATTCTTAGAAACATACTCTTGATACAATGTTTTGAGACACGTCTACATCAGAATACTGCAGCAAAGGGACTCAGCATGCACAGCATATATATATATAGCTTAACTTGCTGGCTCTGAGTGAGAGATTACAAAACCAGGCATGACTCCCTCACCTACTTTACGTTTTTACCAGTAGAAGATGATAAAATAATGGAAATTTGTTTCCCTCCTTAATCATTCAACAATTGGACAGATTCCCTTTATGGACAGTTATAGCAGCATATTATGTTTCTCTTTAGAAGTGGTCATAACCCTTTCCCTCTGTTTTATATCCTTGTGGTTCCCTCACGGTCCTTGTGTTTACAGGTCAAGTCATGCATCTCTACAAGACTAAAACTAAACCAGATGTTATCCCAACTAGAAGCAAGCTATCAGATTAGGAAAATAATATAACTTGCTGTTTTGTTTTGTTATTATTCTAGATTAAAACTTCCTTTCAAATGTCAATAATCAAACTTCCCGAAACTTTAATTTCAGGACTAAGTTTAAATCGTGCCAAAATTGTCACAATAGTCTAGTAATCATCAAGTAGAATTAGTTGGCTCGTTGTTCTCTTTTCCTGAAAACATAAACTTTTAATTTGACTTATCATATCCTTTTTTACAGTTGAATACTTGGAGTCAATTTCTTACTCTACTGCACAGTTCTAATTTATTTTTCCTTGAACTGTAGACATAACGGCTCTTTAAGAATGTTGAACTGTAGACATGACAGTTCTTTAAGAATGTTGAACTGTAGACATAACAGCCCTTTAAGAATGTTGAACTGTAGAC